GGCTTCCCGCCCTCCTGCGTGGGTGCAGTTGAGGCAGGCGCGCAAAGGGCCACTTGGTGCTGACCGAGCACGTGGAGATCATGGCGCTCATCATCACCTGGTCACTCTGCAAGCCCTTACCTCAGCTTCTGGCTCCCACGATGTGCTGAATATCACTTCAACTCAGGCAGGAGCACAGGAAATCGCAGAGCAAACCTGCTCCTGACCAATTCCATGCAAACACCTGCTGCTATTGCAGCTGTCAAACTGTGTAGCGCGTGTTGTCTGTTTCTGCATCAACTTGCACACGGTGATTTAGGCCCATGACAGACCCTTTGAGTTGACAAGCGCGTTCGTTCTCTGTAACAATGTATGGGTTCCAACCCAAGTGTGCAAAACAACTTGCTTGGACCTATATAGGTGTGTTCCATACACGCCCACGCAAGTTGACCTGAATGTGCCATGAGAGCTATGCATTGCGCAGCGCTGGTTAGAATAAGGCTAAGCTGCCGCCGTTTCCAGGCAAACACCACAAGACAGCGCCTAACCCTACCCGTATCGCGTGGCAACGCAGTGTTTCTTGAAATGAGATCAACTCGCGCGTGAAAGGTGTCAGGCATGCCAGGCGAGGTGCAATTTGCCGGCGCTGGCTCCCACAGCCCGCGAATGAGACGCCGAGCTTTATATGGGATCTGCCTTGGCGGTATCTTGATGTGCGTGTTACTTTGAAGCTGGCTTGCAAACAGGTCGGGCTATGAGGCTCACCTCTGACCAGGCCTGCCGCGCGAAAAACAAATCAGGATCAATAGAAGGGTGCTAAGGACAAGCAACAAGCGCACGCAAAGGACCATCCATCCCAAGAGATAGCTTTGCACGCTTGCGCACGCAAATGCTCAAGGCACGACACTTCTGATTCCTGTGCACCCTGCGGTTGTCTATGCGCTTGGCCTTGTTGCAAACCGTGCCAAGAAGCACGCAATAAATCACAACGGACGATTCTGTGCGCTGAGCGTGCATATTGCTCAGAAGGCGTGACTTGCAAGCTTTTCCGATTGGATAAGAACTCATGGTTCCCAGTCCTGGCCTGCTTGCCAACATGTCGAAGCACCGACCGTGCTCATGCTCGAGGTGTAGGTGGTGGCATCCGATCCTCTGCAGGCTGCCTGGGACACCGCCCATGCCCGGCGCAAAGCTTCATCTGGCCAAGATGCTGGCGAGCAGTGACAAGGTTCGCAGCCAGCTTCCCCCGAAGGTGGCACCGCTGCCAAGCAAGGTGTTGTATGAGACCTGATGCTTCTTGCCAAGGCCAATCCTTGCAACGTTGCAAGCACGCGTTTGCATTTGAGGGCTGGGGCATGGCGCAATATCAGGCTGCACGCGGCGCCATGGTGCTGAAGAGATGCTGCCTGATTATTAGTGGATGCGCACGTCTGCTGCACTTTGCCACCGCTTTGCTCGGGGTGGTGCTCAATCCTTTCGCCCAAGCACTGGCAGCGCAGCAACACCTTGCAGCCGTGTTCAACCTCAGCTTTCAAGTGGCCTCGAGCTTGACACAGCCGTGATCATATCAAGTCCCAGGCATCACCACGTCTGCAGAATCGGACAGCGTTGCCCTGCGAATGCCAAGCGACTTTCGAAGCAATCCAGTACATCCAAGTAAGGCCGGCCTCAAGGAAACTGCCCACTTCAGGCAGCGACCGCATGCAGCCGCAACCATGTTCAGGGCGATCTGGTTGGGCTGCTGCCCCTGCGCAATGAATGCGGCACTCGCAAGGTGGACCGACCTTGGACCCCTGCAACAACCCCAGCATCAGCATCCGCTTCCCAGCCTTGTGGCCCATGGCTTGCAGGTATCCCATTGCCATTCGCCATTGGCGCTTTGCAGCGCTCGCGCGTATCAATCCTCCCAAGTGAATTGGATGTTTCACCAAGCAGCTGTGGGGTGACCGCGCGCCTCCCCATTCTCTGTCGCTGAGGCCCACCTGGCCTCAAGAGCCAGCCGCAAACAGCTGCAAGCTCACTCGGGCCAAAGAAGTGCCGAGACTCAGCTGGTGCTTTGGTTTGGGCGGTTTGGACGTTCGAGGGCGCCTTCCCCATTTGGCTTCAAAAGGAGCTGGGGTTCAAATCCCAAACCGTCCCCCAAACCACCAATCCAAACCACCGCTTGAGGGGTGCCTGAGAGACAGTTTTCCACGAGTCCGTCACACAGAGCCAAAAAACATCTCTACGTTGTACGTTTAGAGCTTAAACCGAACCAGATCTGGCACAAGCCCAAGCCCTAAGCCTCAACCAAGCCCAGACCGCACACCATCAAACAAACCCAAGCAGACATACCAAACACATCTAGCGTACCTGGAAGCAGGCCAGGGGAGAACGTTGAACGCACCTAGAAAAGTCACAGGGCGTGGTGTCTGGAGCCCAGCGAAGGGCGCACTCGCATCGGTCAACGGGTGACATCACAACACGAGTTGAAGGGCAAGACAGCGCTTAACCTGACGTCTGCCATTCAGACCCACTCACACTAATAGCTAACCAGTCTGAGCTTGTAGCCACAAAGCCACACTCACGCTCACGACTTCGCACGCCGTGAACGGATCCTGCAGTCCCCACCTCTTCGGTCTACTGGCATCGCCTGCACCTTGCGCCCATCGCTATCAGTTTCCAAGTGGCCAGCTTGGCACACAGCCAAGGATTGCAAGTGCAGCAGTCATACCCATGCAGTCACAAAGTTCGAGCAATGGGTGCTTTTTGCACCCCCAAACAATCACACTCACAGAGCGGCCTGGGTACCGCCCGCATCCACCTGCCGTAGGCATTGCCACAGCCCATCCAAATATCGGCGATCAGACTTGAGCCCACGCTGGCAACGCGATGGCAACTTGCAATCACATGCAACCACAAGCGCTGCGTCTCGTCGCCACTCGCAGTTTTTCTCTGAAACTATTTGGCTTTGGCTTTGGCTTTGGCTTTGCCTTTCGCCTTTGCCTTGCGCCCAGACACAGGGATCATGCAACAACTTCTGCCAACGCTGACCCAACAAATGCAGTCAGTCACGGCCCAGCCTTTGCTTTGGCCTTTGGCTTCCAACCACCTCCCAAGACCAGAGCAGCCATGCCAAACCCTGAAGCACAGGACCCGGCACAAAATACAACTGCTTCAACAAAGCTGGGGTAGTGATCACCCATTCTGTGCCTAGGGAGAAGATCTCGATCTTCATCTCCAGCTTTTCCTCCAACAGTTGCAGCGCAGCTTCGCAATCCTGAAGGCACCAGGCTGAGTGTTCGAGCGAAGTGAGAGCTGCACAGGTCAGGTAGCGAGTCGTGCTTTGCAGTCCTCGGTGGGTCCTTTCAAACTAACGTCATTCTCCACCAGCCGGACTGCCTGTTCGCGGTCAGGCAGTGCGCCAGTTGTAGCCATGTGCAACGCATTCGTTTCACTTGTGGCCTGCACAAAGCCATGCTTCATGGGGCCAGCTCCTTCCCAGCTGCACTCCACCCAGTGGCTGGCAACCTGCAAACGGAGGCGCCACTGCGTGCAGGTGGCAACTACCCAAGAGGTCCGGCACATGCTGCGACGCGACGCATGCTAAAGCACCAGCGCCTCCACATCTGTACCATCGTCGATGTACCCAATTGCGTTTTTTCCTTCAGCCTGGGTTCACCCAGGAAAAAGAGTTCACCTTGCAAGTGATTCCCACGGCCTGCAACGCTTCCTTGCGAACAAGGACGCTGCCATAACCGTTTGCTTCACACACGGTCGCCTCTGAACGGCTGACAATGGATGTCGTGCACTCGCGAGACCGACTCACCGAGCCTTCTTTCCTGGAAGCAGCTGCCCCTTCACATGCTTCGCCTTGATGAAGCCATTTGCCACAACGTGCTTCGGCCCTTGCCAGGAGGCTCAAGGACCAGTTCCAGCCGGGGGGGGGGGGCTTGCGTACGCAAACGACCGGTCACTTGCACACTCACATACGCAGAAAAGGTGTGGTCACATGACACGTAGACTATGCAGGCACGCGGGTTGTGGAGGTGGACACCCACCCACCCACCCACCCACCCACCCACCCACCCACCCACCCACCCACCCACCCACCCACCCACACACACACACACACACACACACGCATGATTGGCACGAAGATGTCTATGGCCGAAAAGGAGGGCATGGAATGTTCCGCCAAAGGCGATGTTCAATCAAAACGTGAACACCTGTCTTAGAGCCTTCAGAAGTCTTATTTTCATGCAATGTACTGAAGCAAAGCACTAGCTAGTTTGTGAGTCAAGTATGTAGGTCCTGAGGTGCTTGAATAGCCAGCAAGACTTGGGACCGCTGGGTCCCTTTCATGAGAAGTGAGGTTTTAGCACTGAATTAGCTCTGAGAAAGAAACGGCGAGCATTTGAGGTTTGAGGGTCCTGTGCGAATCAGCGCGAGCCACACGGGCAAAGCAAAGAGTTTTCAGCACTGCACCGTGGCCACAAGTACACTGTACAAGCGACCAACGCATGTAGGTGCACAAACTTCCGCACATGAACAAGCAACCTTCCTCCCTTCCACCCGCCTTTACATTGTACCCATTCATCTTCCAGCTTGACCTCTATGGCAAATGCCGGCAGCTTTCACAGTGCAAAGCATGGTCGGAACTTGGTCGGACGTGGGTTCTTGTCATGGTCCCTTGGTGAGATCCCTGAACATGCCTGTCAAAACTAATGATCGCGGATGGGCCTTGTGGTTCGCAGGAAGGTGCGCAGCAATGCCCTTTTTGCCGGGAGCCTCGCATTAGCGTGAACATCCGGCAGGTGCTGCAGCCAATGCCCATGTTCTTTTCCGACATGCCTTCATAGCCGGGGTGACTCCCATGCCCAAGGTCGACACCTGAGCCAGTCCAGCCCTCTCTGCGGTCCCATGGTGGTCCTCCCATTGAGAATCCCAAGGGGCTACCACGCACAAGGCTCCAAGCAATCAATCGCCTCCATTGGAGTACTGGTTCTTTTGAGGATCAAACCCCGAGGTTCTCCGATGGACACATGTCATGTTTGCCGCTCAGGTGCGTCGACTTGATCTCGGCTCTACTGGGGTGGGGTGGGGTGGGGCAAAATGATGTCACAACCACTGCTTCTCTGGCCCAGGATCCCGTTGGTTGGGGTGGGGTGGGGCGGGGTGGGGCAAAATGATGTCACAACCACTGCTTCTCTGGCCCAGGATCCCGTTGGTTGGGGTGGGGTGGGGATCCCGTTGATTGGGGTGGGGTGGGGCGGGGTAGGGTAGACTCTGATTGGGATGCCTTCATTCGATGCCATGCTGGAAGTGTTGACCTTGTTGATCTTGCTGGGCAAGCCATTCGACTGATGAGTTGGACCATATACATGCAGTGATGTGCTCTGCAGCGAACGATGATCCAGCTTGGCGACTTCTCTTTACGCCGCTGGCCCGCATCAAGAAGAAAGACTTGGGCCCACAGCCTTTGCGACTCTTGCGGAAGATGAGCAAACTGAAGAATGCCAAGATATGCGTAGAGAAGCGAAACCACTTCTGCATCACTGGCGGCGACCAAGTAGCCGAGCGCATTGCTGGCATAGGTGAGCAAACACTGCGCAGGCTTGGTCAACTTGGGGGTAACAAAGACAGATTGGAGCACCGCAATATCTTGGCTGCCTACTACGTGCACTAAAACCCTGGCCTAGATGCTGCTTTGACTGCGCTTAAAGTGCATCGTCAAAAATGCAATGGTGTCCTGTCTCCCTCTCATTCAAAGAACCTTTGTGGAAGGTGTGACCACTTTTCGCGCGGGGCCCTAGTAAAAAAAAAAAAAGGACTTGGGATTCTGCAGCTTGCTTACATGTGAACTCGACAGGCCACTGGGGGAAGCAAAACCATGCTGTTGTTACATTGTGTCAATGCACTTCCAGATGTTACGCGGACGGAAAGGACGTTGATCCACGCGTATCAAAGATGACAGGCGGTTGTCTGTTGCTTCGGAACACCTGAAACTGCTGTAAACCACAGTGTAAAACACATGTTGACTATTTGTGCCTCGTGATGGACAGTTCTCCGCTTGGAGAACCTCAGGGTTTCGACCTCTTTTGAGAAGCTTCCTCAAACAGGAAAATATCTTTTTGGATATGACCAAAGGGAAAGCAAAAGGAAACTACCACCCAGACTAGGCAGGGAAGGTAAGCGAAAAGGACACCGGGTTCGCTACTGTGGACAAAACCCTGCGCCAGTTGGATGGATGAAGCCCAATGAAGACAGGATAAACCACCTGGCATCTGGTGCGAAGCGCCTTTGACGATCCGTGAGTTTTAGCAACCTGCTTCTTTTTGAGGACGGCACCGGGTCAGTGGCGGCAGGCACCTTCAGCTCCTCAGATGTGCACATTGGTAGGTTGAACAGTCGCTTCAAACAAACTCTGAGTTCCTTTCAAGAGCCACAGTGGACATCATTGACATGGTATTGTTTCCACACCGTCTTTAGGGTGCTGCAATCATTAAACACCATATCCACATGTCGGCAGTTGTTTCTTTTTGCTTCCTGCAACCTGAGTAAATGAGCAGTCTTGCAGATCCTGTCTAAACCCTTGTGGCCACAGGATGTCCAATCACTGGAGCCTGAAGCATATGCAAGAAAATCAGCAGAAATTGTTTGACAAATTCGGCCTGCACTCTGGAATTGCCCGGCAGCCCTTGAGAAACCCAGATGTTGGCAATAATCCTGTCTTGCCTCTTTCTTTGGAAATGCTTGACTTTCACCACACCCTTTACACGTGGTGACCCAAAGCAACGCACAATGAGAGCCTTGTCCAGCAACGAGAGAGTGTGACATGCTCTAAAAATGCGCTTGAACCTCACTAGATCTTTGGTACAAGAGTTCCCGGGTATTATCTTTAAGGGCCCGTGTCGTCCAGCTCAAGTACTCCATGAGGTCTCGCAACGCTGAGCTCGGCTCCACCGATGCCGGCAACTCTTTCTTGACGTGGTTCAGAAGTGGGCGAAGCCTGGCATAGCTAGACACGCACTGACCCGTCCTCGTCCTCTGTCGCATGGCCTGTGGGGCACCTTCAGCTTGAGCCGCTGGATGCCATGGGCCTGCCAGTTCTATCGGGGTCGCTGGGCGCTGGCGCCCTTGGGGCCGCGCCTCCGGCGCCAGGCTGGCGGCACTGAGGTCCTGAAAGCGGCCAAAGGTCCGCAACACACGCGGCACGCGCGGCGCTCGGCAGGGGCGGTCCTCCGGCATGTCGATACCCAAATCTTTGGCATCCGGCGCCACCAGGTCTGCAACCTCACAAGGGCAGCGGACTGCATGTGGACGAAGTTAACATGCGGGCCTTCTTGCGAACATCTTCCGGCAAGGTCGCCAGGAATTCACAAAGCAAGCGCCCCTAGCGATTGGCTGCAACTCAGGAAAGCGTTTCGGAGCTCACCCGAAACACTGGGCCTTACGGTTGCTCTGGTACTCCTGCCACAAGTTGTACTCAATGAATAGGGGCCCACCTTGCACACGGACATTCACTGGCATGTGAGCCGGTGCGAGCACAAGCCAGGCCTTCGGTGGGGCATTTGCTGCCGTGATCGTAAAAATGCTTATGGGCGTCTTTTCCGCAGTCCTCCCAGGCACATCGGCCAAGGCAACGGACCCAAAAACGGCCCCGAACCACGGTTCCCTCAATAAACCGAAAAGATACAGTCATATGTAGATGGGTTGTCTAGAACCCCTATGATGTCAGCCTTTACCAACCCCAAGAAAAGGTCCTTTGAGCACCAAAGAACGTCAACCCAAGTGCCTCGCCTGCAGGCAGTAGGAGCAAAAGCCACACTTGCAGCCCGAGCAGCTGATCGCACTGCCTGGGCGCAAAGGGCGCGAGGAGTTTTTCCACGGAGCACGAAGCCCATGCGAAGCCAATACTCCGAGTGGCAATTGTCGTAGTCCAGGAAAGCCATCTTGCACCTTGGGCATTTCAACGTGAAGATGTCGTCGATGATCTTGAGGCGGTGCTTGTCCAACTCAAGCTGCTCACTGCCTTTGGGTGTCAGTGGCCAGTATTGAAGCGAGCGTAGCAAAGTGGTCTCATGAGAGACTTGGGCCCGGGCTGCCGGTGGCCTTTGCCAGCTTGTCTTTCAGTTCATCAATTTTGGCGCTGTTCTCTTTTTCGAAGTGCTCCTGGATGCTTTGCTCCGCCACCTTGATTCTAATCTGCAGGTAGTCATCAAACGTGTCCTGAGACTTGCATTGCATCCCCCGTCAAAAGGAGTTCATCATTCACAGTCCTGAGGCACCACTGCTGCGAGCACAGAGTCGCCGAATGGCGTGTCTGAATCCTCTGAATGAAAACAGGGAGAAAACTTGACACCACAGCTCGGCAACATTTCACGCCTTCATGGGGCACAATGCTCGTCCTTTGCCCTTCCTGGCTTGCAGCACACCCAACTGTTTCAATCAAATCATTTTGCACGTGATGCGGGCCCACTCTGCAACCTAGATTCTTTTGATCAGCGTAGTCTGCCGTCTTAAACGATTCCAAGAAGTTGCCTACGCAGGCCTTGCAAAAGAAATGCGCTTTGCCAGGGCAGCAAATCCCATCGGTGCCAGGGACATTGTCGAAGCAGCAGTCACAATCACGACCTGACATCAAAAGCGAGACCTGCCAGCCCCGGTTGCCGAACCGATCTCATGGTGAATTTGTCCAAGAAGCACTCTCCGTCTGGTGCAGCTGCCGGCGCCGCAGCAGGTGCCGCCGGTGCCGCAGCTGCTGCAGCTGCTGCAGCTGCTGCAGGTGCTGGTGCTGCAGGTGCAGGTGCGGGTGCTGCGGCAGCCGCAGCAGGTGCCGCGGGCGCAGGGGCTGCAACAGGTGACGCCGGTGCCGGAGGTGCTTCAGCTTCAGGCGGAGGTACGGCAGGTTCCGCGACAGGCTCTGGCTCTGCGGCTGGTGCAACCTCCTCAGCCTTTGCAGCCTCATCCTCCTCTGCGGGGGGCATCTCCACGTCGGCAGGCTTGGCTTTGGAAGACGAGCTCGGCTCAGCGTCTGCATCACCCTTGTCAAAGTCAGGATCACCAGGGTGCGAGAACCTGTCAACACGCTTTGCTGTCCCCCTCTGAGCTATGGGCACGTGCCGACAAGCTTTCATGCATCATGGGTCTCTGGGGAGATTCCAGGCACTGGGCTTCCCGCTTGGCGCGGTGCGCCGGTTTTTTCTGATAGCAACCAGCCCCATACCTGCAAAGCACATATCCAACTTAGACAGCACCCCAGCCCACTCCACACATCAGGACTCTAGGTGCGGGGCTTGCAAGGCGGGCGAGGGGAACCGCCTGCTGCACCACCTGCTGCACCGCCTGCTGCACCGCCTGCTGCACCGCCTGCTGCACTCAGGCATCAGTGTTGCTTGCAGCGCATGTCCGTGGCCTGTCTTGGCCCGCTTTGCCGGAGGCTCTTCCTTGCTTGGACCCGGCCGCGCCTTTCCTTCCCGGGAACATTCTGCTTTCGCAAAGGTGCGGCAACCACGCCGTCGCACCAATGTGCCCAACCTGGGCTGGCCGCAGCGCTGGATCTAGCTGCCGGGGCGGCGGGCGCCGCAGTCACCTTGGAGCTATGCAAGCCACATGCTTCCAGCTTTCAATTGCACTGCGTTAGCTGGAAACAAGCAGTCAATTTCTCAACAGGGGGCAGTCTCCAAAGACGCACCAGGCGGAGCAGGTTGTACATGCCGAGCTTTGACAAAGTTACGATGCCCACGCCACCTGCGCACATAGTCAATGCTGGTGACTGTTTGGCACGCGCCAAAAGCAGCGAAGCCTGCATTCCACCCATCTTTCCACAAGCTTCACGGCTTTGGCACCGTTCTCAACAAAGCATACCACATTGCCTGCAAGTCTCATCATCCGCAAACTGACTTGTGGTGCGGCATCTTGTGATCTAAATGATCAAGTCGGCATTGCCTTTCGATGCATCTTGTTCACAATGACGGCGCATGCATGTCTCTGTGTTGCCTCGCAGTTCACAACTTGGAGCCGCTGCGCAACCGGCAAAACTTGCCATGTGGAACATAAGTCGCGTCTGCGCCTGCGTAGCTGTCTCGCACCTGGCACCGTTCCGCGTTGATGCGAGAAGAGCTCCAAACCCGATGCCTCCAGCCAGTCGCCGGGATTTTTGGAGGCAACCGCCGGCAAGTTCTTGGCCTTAATGTAGCCTCCGCGTAAGTGGGGACTTTGGATGCCTGGATGACTGTGGCCACGTTTCCCGACTCACTGAACCCCCACAGCCGACAGCCAAATGATTCTTCCCTCCAGACATGTGAATGTGCAATGTCTCTCCAAAATGAGTGAGCAGTTGCTGTGGACAACATGGGTAGCAACGATAGACAAAGTTCTCCATGGGACGATTGCGGAAGCAACTGTCACAAGGAACGACTAAGCTGCTATATAAAGCCTGTCGCCGGAAGGCATCTTCACACTGTTGCTGTGATTTGCATAGCCTTAAAAAAGTTGAACACATGCTTCCAGTAAATTCACATGTGCGGTGCCGAGACTTGTCTACCCTGCCGAGCGGGTTCAGCCCCGCGGATAGCTCTTGCAACGCCCGAGGCAGCATATCCTATATGATGATTGTCCGTGGGATTGTGAGAACCACTTGAATAAGACAAGGGCAGGGCTGCAGAATGTGCCCAGCTAAAATCTAAGCTCACCTAAAAACCGAGGCATAGGTGGAAGTGCATCCTGACAAGCTGCCACTGTCTGCCAAGGGGAGAACAAGAACGACACAAACAGAAATCACCATCTCGCCTTGGAGCTTGCCGTGCTCACACTGCACCCACTCCTGCAGCCGAGGCCGGCAAAAAGGGAGCGCGCCAACCCAGCCTTGAGAACCAGTGTCCCTGCGAATACTTTCCAGAAACCATGCGCAACAAGTCTGGGCCCACTTCCACCGGCCCTCTGCGCTTACTAGGTCAACCCTGCGATTGTACATAGCATACATACAGACTCTACATTCTGGTTTGCAAACCATTTGTTAGCGCTACATGACAATGCGTTTCAGTACGTGACATTAGTAGGTCCAAACTCTGAACCTCCGTTACAATACGTAGCGCAGTACAAAACATTCCGCTGCATTACGCTACATCACATCGCATCACATCACAATATATCACATTACGGCACAGTATGTTCCGCTGCGTTACGTCACATTACGGTACATCTTCAAAAGGTTGGCCCCTCATTCACTTAGCAGATCAGCAAAAAAATGACTCACTTGTCACACAGGTGGTCGCATAGCACTTGCGCGAATACAACGTGGATGGCCCATTGGCTGAGATGCTCCTCATTCACAACGGGGAACCAAGAGGACTTGCTGTAAAGAATGCCGAGGCGAGACTGGAAAGCCAGTGTCCAGCAAGTGGAGAGTAGCACTGCCAGAAAAAAACGGGACTTTCTCGCAGCGCCCCCTCGCAGCAACCCCAGCAAGCCCTAGCCGGATAGACATGTGCAGAGTACGGTCTAGCACAGCTCCCCGCGAGAGCGCGCTGAGCGCCGTCAGCCGAGCAAGCTCATGCCAGAAAAGAAATGGTGGATTCCTACAGCCCATGGCCATCGGAGACTCCAATGCTCTACCTTAGGACGCACACAATACATACATACGTGCATACGTACGTACATACGTTGCACAACATTACATTACATTGCGTCACTTGACATTACGTTGGCTGTACTTTACGCTACGTTGCACTACATACTATATAACTAACATACCTACACGCATACATTGCATTACCTTACTCACAATCCATTACATGACATTACATTAAGCAAAGTACCACATACATTAGGTTACAGTTCGTGCAAACAGATAAAGTGCAAATTACAGAGCATACGCACATTAAATATATCTATACACGTATGCACGCAAACAAACACGCAACCATACATACATACATACATACATACATACATACATACATACATACATACATACATACATACATACACACATACATACATACATACATACATACATACATACACACATACATACATACATTACATGCAAACATACATGCGTACACACACATACATACATACATACATACATAAATACATGCATGCGTGAACACATAAGTACATACATACCATAACAAACAAAGAAACGAAACAAGGAAACAACAAAACAAACAAACAAACAAACAACCAACCAACCAAACAAACAAACAAATATATACACAAATACATACATACATACATAGGTACATTCGTTCATTCATTTCTACATACATACATACATGCATACATACATACATAGATACATAGATACATAGATACACACATACACATACATGTGTACGTACATGCATACATACATACATGCATACAAATACATACATACATACACGCATACATACATTACACTACACTACACTACGCTACACGACACTGCACTGCACTGCACTGCACTGCACTACACTGCATGCAAGCATACATACATACATGCATACATACATACTTACATCTCAACAACAAAGTGGCACGACTTGCCTCATACTCTGTCGCCTGTGTCACAATCATCAGTAACGCAACTGCTCTCCTTTTCTGTCGTCGCGCGTTGCCAAAGGCATGGGGTCGAAAACTGGCCTGCACCAAACGCGCTTGTGACCCATGCGCCAGTGTGCGTCAACACTCACAGTTATCTCCCAACTGGCCTGCACAAAACGCGAGAATTGGCCTACACCAAACGCGCTGTTGACCCATGCGCCAGTGTGCGGCAACACTCAGCCATCTTTTTCAACGGCAGTCACAATGCACGAGGGTAGAGAAGCAAGTGCGGCACACGTGAAGGTTTGGGCAGGCCTTGGTGCGGCCGCCTCTGTTTTGCGCTGCCTGGAAATGCCAACAGAGGCCGTGTTCCACGGGCTGCGCACTTGCAGAGGCATTGCGGACATCTGACACGGCTGAGTCTCCGCAACGCTGAGTTTGGGCCCTATGAGAACAGGTGTAGCGGGGAGGGCGGGCGGGCGTCGCAACTGACAACTAGAGGCTCCCACGCTTAGAGCCCATCATGTGTCACCACAGGATGTTCAACCATAGTTTGTCTCAGCAATGCATAACACACACACACGATTGAGGGGCTGCCTTTGTTGTGTTAGATAGGACTATCACCTGCGGTGAGAGCGTCCATCACGTTGCATTACAATACGTTACATTCCGTTACATTACACACATCACAAGAATTACATGCAGTACATAACATAGCATAGCATCGCATCACACAACATAACACATATACAACGTATTACATTGCATTTCATTTCATTACATTTCATTTCATTACATTTGCATACAATTCGTTACCTTTCATTACATTTTACATTGCATTGCATTGCATTACACCGCGTTACATACATACATACATATACACATACATACATACATAAATACTTACATTACATTACATTACATTACATTACATTACATTACATTACTAATTACGTTTCTAATTACAGTTCTATTCACATGTCTATTTACATGTCTAATTACATTACGTTACGTTACGTTACAGTACACTACATTACATACATACATACATCACCATAAAATATTACATTACACTACATTACGCTACAGTACAGTACGCTACATTGCATTACATACATACATGACATTGCATTGCACTACATTACATTACATGACGTGTCATGACATACATACGTACGTACGTTACGTACATTACATACGTTGTTACATACGTTACATACATACATTACACTACATTGTATTGCATTGCATTGCCTTACAGACTTTACATACATTACATTACCTTACATTCCTTACGTAGATTACATACGCTACATACATTACATACATCACATACAATACGTACATACATTACATACAATACATACATACATACATACACTACATACACTACATACCCACTGCACCTGAATACATGGATACATTACATACATACATACATACATACATACATACATACATACATACATACATACATACATACATACATACATACATACATACATACATACATACATACATACATACATACATACATACATACATACATACATACATCCACACATACATAATACATACCATACATAATACATACATACATACATACATACATACATTAGAGACATACATACATGCATGCATGATTGCATACATACATACGTTCGTACATACATATTGACGAATGCCCTTCTGCATAAACACCCCCATATGCGGGACAGGGTGCGGGACAAAGTGCACGACAAAGTGCGGGACAAAGCGCGCAACGAAGTGCGGGACAAACTGCTGGACAAACAGCTGTCCGGCAAGTTGTCCGGAGGGTTGTCCGGCGGGCTGTCCGCGCACGTTGCCGAGATTTATGCTGCAAACCCCCCCTCCCACGAGAATACTTCCCGAGTGGTTTCCGAGTGGTTTCCGAGTGGTTTTGAGCGGGTTCCGAGGTTTCCGAGCGGTTTCCGAGTGATTTCCGAGTGGTGTTGGCGTGTTCCAAACCCGTCCGAAGACTTGTGCGGGGGGTTCTCCCGGGTTTTTGGGCCCTCAAAGCTGTCCGGAGGGTTGTCCGGGGTTTGTCCGCGGGCTTCTGGAGGGTTGTCAGGGGGTTTGTGCGGGGAGTTGTCCCGCCGATTTTGTGCCCTCAAAGCTGTCCGGAGGGTTGTCCGGGGGTTCGTCCGGGGGTTCGTCCGGGGATTTAAGCCTGTTTGGACCAAAAATATGAAAACAGGTGTTTATGCAGACCGCCTCTGTCAACATAATACATGGATCAGACATACACACATACAGTATACATACATACATGCATACATACATGCATACATACATACAAGTATCATACATACGCACATTGGATGCAAAATTACTTTAGGTTACATTACGCTACATTGCCTTACAGTACATTACATTTCAGGACTGTGCATTACAATACATTCATACAAACACACATGCAATTCATACATAATTGCATTACATTACACTACATTGCATTACATGACTGTACTTTACAGTGCATTGCATTTCGTTGCGTTGCACAACGTTACGTTACATGCTTGCAATGACATTTGGTTAGGTTACATTACGTGTACCCATATATGCATACCAGACATTACATTACATTGCATGGCATGCATACATACGCATCTAGCCTTGAACAGGGGATGCCGCATACCTCCCCAACAATCATGTCTTATCTTCCCAACGCTCCTGGCAGCTTCTGTTAGAATGAACGGCTATGGAGCGACAACACCAATGTTAGACTCTGCCGGGCTCCTGAGCGATGGGGTTCCGCAAGCTTTAGGCACCGCCGAAACTGGGGGAAGTTGGGCATGAATATAAACTTGGGAGATTTCGGGGACATATGTTACATTGGGTGCGATGTCCTCCTTTTTTTGGGCGGGCAGATTCCCACGGCCAGTTGCGCAGCGCCGAAGCCAGTGACTTTTGGTTCTCAAAACCGGTCTTGCTTCGCGCTTCCTAGCGAATGAAACCCCGCGAGAACCACACACGCGAACATGCCGCTCGAATGAACTCTCGCCTCCACAAGCTCCACCAGGGTCTCGCTGGGGATGTCCTGGCAACGGTTTGTCTAAACTGCCTTAGCTCTCCAAACATCGGCCAAATACAGCATCTTCGTTGGAAGGGTGGTGACCACGAGGCGGTCTCCGGAACAAACCCGAAACAACCAGGCGTCCAGCTGTGGGGAAACTTCGGAAGTCGACAAACCCCTGTGAAGAGATATGACGAGATACTAGAATGCCAGAGATCTATCAAGATTTCTCTCAGGCCTGTTGCCAAAATGAACGGGGACTCTGCCAATTGCCCGGCTCGGCGTGAGGAAAAGCTGCTTCTGGCACATTGGCAAGTCCCGAAACCAAGAACCATCAGTCCCAGGCTGCGGCAGCCGATGGTTTGACTCTTGCGGCCTCAGCCAACAAAGGGGGTACATCTAGGGCCAACTGTGGAACCGCCTAAGGCAGTCGCCACATCTTCATAGCCGTCGGCGTTCTTCAGCAAGGCCAGCGGTGGAGCTGCCATCGTCTTGCACGATGGGATAAATCAGCCTCTGTTCAAGGTCTGGCAACCTGGACATCGTGTGCATCTTGGAAGCCACTTTGCTGAGGGCTGTTTGTTCCCCTCTTCCACCCTTTTGGAGCCTCGGCGCAGCGTTGAAGGCTCAGTGGACCCTGACAAGTTCAAAGCGTCAAGCCAAAGTCAGTTTGATCTGAGACGGATTGATTTGCCTAGGCATCTTTTCGGGTTTTGGAGTTCAAAACATTTGAGCCACGGTTGAAACCATAGTTGACGCTCATGCACATTGGAATCATTCTGAGTCCGTAGGCTACTGGACCTTCTGACGGAGTCAGAGCGCCCACTTAGCTCCCTCGGGCACGGGGCTTTTTACGCGAGAAATTTGGAGACGAGCTCCCTAGGCGTATCTCCAATGAATCTATAGTGAAACGCAGGCAGAGCAAGGCAAACGCCCCAAGTTAGTTATAACTGAACAAAAATCGGCCATCCACTGCGTGGAGGTCCCTTCACCCTTTCGGGAGTGGGCGCCAATCACAAATGAGCCAATCGTTGCAAGGGAGCCGCCCAGCTTTTGCATGGAGGGCTCGGCGGTTCGCATCCCGAAAGAGTGGCTTGGCGCTCGCAATGCGACCAACTGTGGCCATTGTGGCACAAAAGTCCAGCGTTTCTCAATCATTCCGGCTGCACACCCCTGCTCTCACGATAGCGGACCGGTTTTATCGCCTGGCCGCTGGCTCAGGATGGCAGGCAAATGTGGGGCAGCTGCAGCAGTGGCCACAGCAGTGGCAACAGCAGCAGGGGCAGCAGCAAACTCAAAGAAGAAGCATAGTTCTATCTTGGGTTGGTGTCTGAACGGGCAGCCTCTCAGAGGCAGGCTGGCCAACTCCGGTCTCACTGTCACAGCTCCCCACGAGAGAAAGAGAAGCCCGGGTCCAGACCCAATACGACTCACACATCTGAGAAGAGCTCACACTTTGTGGATAATCCTCATCCTTTTCCGACGCTTCAAACGCAAGAATGAACCACATGTATCTTGCTGTACCCAAAGCCTCACCAAACATGAAAAGCTGTTCGGACAATTAGCATCCTGGATCTTGAGCTTTACAGTACCCAGCAACCTGGCCCGAAATTGTGCATTCTGGAAAAGCCGTTGGTTCTAATCCACCTGCTGCAAACTAAACACAAGACTAGCCTCTCACCGGTCATTTCAAGGCCTCCTTCCATACAGGCTCTCGCTGAAAGGCAGTTGGTAAACTCTTCCAACGATGGCATTTCTAATTTGTTGTTTTTGTCAAAGGGAACTTGCAACTGCGATGGATCCAACATCTCGATATGTTTCTTGCTGCCCCGAACATGTGGTCTTCTAACTCCCGGGGAGCTGCTGAGGCTGCAACCACGATGTAAACCCAAAAGCTGGTACCCTCCAACAAAATGGCAAAACCAAGCCCCCCATTCAACGTTCTATAGTGTCTGGCCCTAGCTAAACACCAGGCAAATGAGACACAAGTCAACGCTCAACAAAACCCACCGATTCACCCAGAAGGCGCGCAAGCCACGCTTGGTGGAGCGAGCAAAAGGCCTTGGTAGGCGAAGGAAAAGGCGCCCGCGTGCCGTTCTCGAAGACAAGCGGATGGTACCTCAGGGCGAAGCGCTCGAGCTGGGTGTGATGTCAGGTACATGTTGTGGGCTGCTTCTTGGGGCCAAAGGCAAACCAACGCCCATGTTTGGGGGTGCCCCCACTTAGAGACGATCCCACTTAGAATTGCCAATTGTGTCGGACCCTCACCCGGCGCAATTCAGCCGCAACGCTCACCGCTAGCGGCAAACCAGGGGGCGCACTTGTCGTCCAGAAGCATCACATTGCTATTCCGGTAGTACTCCACGTTCGAGGCCCTTGCGAGGTTGGAGCTCACGCCCAAAACAAAATCATGGAATCTCGTTCTGCGCAGTGAATGAGTCGCTCGGCTCATGTTTGCATCATCTCCCCAAGCGCAAAATCCAACCTTTCAGGCCTTCCCTGCGTGGTCGCTGGCGCCACGGCGCAAATCTTCTTGCTGCGGTCGCCCGCCAGGGCAAGGCCCTGCGAACCAGACTCTAACTTGCGCAAGATGAAAAACCTGTCTGACAGGCGTCGCCTGATACGTTTTGCGGAAGTTCTCGGCGAACCCCGGCGTGGCGAAATTCACAAAAGCGTACCTGCGCTGTAAGAGGCGGCGGCAAGAAACCCAGCCGTCTCCAACCCCCCGGCATGCAATCCAAGCTCCGCACCCCAAGTTATTGTCGGTCTGGAAATCGATGGGCAAGTAGAAGAAGTCATACTTGCCTTTCAAGCCCCGTGCTTCCCAGACTTTTCTTGACATGTCATGCAGGGCAACACGCACCACTTGAGAGAAGGCGGACCGAAAGATCGCACCGTAATCCATGCTGCCTTTGAAAAACCGCCTTTGGACAAGTCCTGGAAGGCATCCGTGGGCCCCCCGAAACTTGCGAACCACAAGTCTCAACAGTCAGCACAGTAAATCTCCGGTGCGCTTTTGCGCCTACCCTCCTCTTCGAGACCAGCTTTTGAAAAATATTGAAATCTCTGAGGCGATGACCGCGAAAGCCACGCACCTCAGTCTGGCGTCTGGCGTCTGCACACACAATGCTGTCTGCAAGCCAAAACGACCCAGAAGTCGCCTCCTTCACTCATTCCTTGTGCTACTAGGCCCAGAGCATCAAAATCAGCCAGCAAGGCTTCCCGATTGAATGTCACCTCAAGCATGCTGCGACTGCAATACTCCTTCCACGGCTACGAGGAGATAAGGCACCAGCAGGAATGTTGCGCAACATAAGCCTGCATGCAGCACGGTGCGTCTGACAAGGCTAGACGGACCCATCTCAGAGCAAGCACAAGGCGAACTGTCTGCAGTGCGCACGTTGTGATGCCCGGAGCTTGTGGTGGCGCCCTGTCTTGAGGCTCCGCCATTGGCCTAACATTTGGCTCGGACAGTGCGCGGGTGATTTCGCCCCGACGTCTGCATTGAAAGATGCTAGTTAGGATGATGAGCGAAGACTTTGAATCTCATGAATACCCAAAGGGCAACACCTTGCCAGCCAGCAAATGAACGAGATGATTGGAAAGGGAGTGCGCTGCTAACAGCCAAGCCGAGCGAAACAAATGAGGTGGCTGAAATGAAGCATGACACACTTATCCTGTCGTGCAAGTGGACTGCCACATGGCTATGGGTCAAAACCAATGGTACCGTTTTGGGGTAGGTCCACTGGAAGTACGATTTTAGTTTTGACCCATGGCCACATCTAGGGGCTCTGGCCTGACCTGGCCCTGCAGCTTTTGCGGCCCCTGCGGTCAAGCATCGGTCATGACAATGAGGCTAACTCTTGGGTGTTCCCTGGCGTCATCCACAAAGCAACCCCCGTAAGGGAACGAAGGAAAGGCTTGTTTTTGGCAAGCACCAGGATTTACATGCAAAGTAGCAGGATGACGTCCAAGCTTGTACCTTGCAATGAGCACATGGGCCAACCTAAGCCTTGAGATGTCCAGTGTGAAGCTTTGGACCCTCGGCGTTTTTCGCGACAACTGGCCTCCAGAAAGTTCGAAAGCACCAGAACCTGCTGCTGCATCTGTGCCGGGTATTTGCCTTGCTGCCACCCGGGAGAATTCTGCGGCTGTCCATCTTGCGGCGGCAGGGTCTGGGTCAAAAATGGCATGCCATCCCAGCGGGGCATGGGCATGTTGCCCAGGACCGAGGATGCTGGGGCAAACTGTCCCATCACAGGGTACTGGGCTGGGCGCGATTCCTGGGGCATGGATGGCATGTATTGGACTGGCGGGCACGGCATGACCGGCATCCCTGTAGATGCCGGCATTGAAGCGAGAGCTTGCGGACCCTGAGCAATGACATGCATTTGAAGGAGTTGCCGAACAACCACCGCCTGTCCAAAAGAGTCTGGCCCACTGGGCAGCATGAAGACCTCAGTCCAACGAGACCTAGCCATTTCCCGTCATTGCAGTTCCTGGGCTCCTGACTGGCGGTTGCTGCGATGCTGGATAACTGTAATACATATCGGGCCTTGCTTCAATCGCTCAGCCGAAGTGCATGGCCACTTCAGGCTTCTGAGGCCCCGTCGTCGCAGGAACTGCCTCCAAAGAGCTTCTCCGTGTCGCAGCTGAGACCCCCGAGTGGCCTTGAAACGGCTTCGAGAAACTGTAGTCTTTGCCTCAAAGTCCCCACCCCAAGTCCAAAAAGCGGTTTGGATGCATTTTTGGTGGATCCACCCCTGCAGGATATTAAAAGAGTACTAAAAGAGTACTAAAAAAGTTTCTTAACCTACAGGGGCTAAGGACAGGTGAAATCCACAAAAAGCGCATCCAAACCGATTGCTAGAACAAAGAAAAGAAAAGCAAATCAACAAGTAAGGATGGCACTTGTCTGAATGCGTGCAGCCTCCGAGCTCAGCGTGCTGGTCCTGCAGGGGGGAAAGCCAGACATGGATTCCCCGCCAGAACGTTCTGAATGTTCAGAATGTTCAAGCATGCCAGCCTTCGCCGAGCAAGCTCATCAAGAGCCTCCACAGTCTTTGATTTGGAGCATGCATCAAAAAATGAGTACCTGCCTGTGGTGGCAAAGTGAAATGATTTGGCGGCTCTACTGCGAAAGAGCCGAGAGGTGTTCTTGAGTACAACACCTGGCAAGTGCGCGAGACCAGCGATCAAAGCATGGCGTCAGGATCCTCCAAGCTCAAGCTGCTTTTGAAAAATGTGCAGGGCAAACATCTGGCGTCTTTGTCACCGAGCACGTCCTGAAAGAACCCGCAGCTACTCAAGAAAGCAAAGGCAACAAGCAGTTTTCTGCGGTCCTCGGCGCCGATTCGATGCTGGCTATGCATGCACCTGGCATCGAACAACCCGGACAGTCTTACTGGCCACCATATCCACCAGGCACCTGGGGCTGGGAATGCTTTCGCGGCAGGGCCTGCAACTGAGGAAAAAAAGCAGACAAGCCTCGCGCGTCAGCGCATTCCCCACTCTCCAGGCCCAGCCTGCCATCCCATTGTACGGAGCGACCTCGCAGGAACCTTGGCATTGCGAATTGGGCTTGTCGAACTGGAATTTGAGCTTTGCCTTGGGCAAAAACAAGCCAAGGCCCGCGGGCGAATGCTCAATTTTGCGTGCCGAGCGCAGTAGTTGCGTTCAGCTCAGTCCAGCCGCAAACATCTGGACCGATATGCAAGTTATGGAGAACTGGACCGCTTGGCCATGCCGAGGAGTCTGACTCACACGGGCCAGCTACATGGTGCGGTCATGCCAGTTTGATAGTCCAGTCAGTGTAGTTGAGAGACAGCCAAGCCGGGGAGGTTGCCGTGACACAGTATCACGGCCGAGACATACGGAAGTGCATCACATAAGCGTGGCACAAGCATGCCAAAATGCGGCCATGTAAATGAGCCGCCACCAAAATCCCTGTGCGCCAAATTATCTTCCCATTCCCGCAGTCTTCCTGTACATCTTCCTGTAAAGTCTTACTGCAATCGTCCAGGTCCTTCTCACCTATCGCAAATCAAAGGAGTCAATGCTCACAACACCAAATTTGAATGGGAACAAAGGGCTTTGTCAAGAGTCCAGGCTTCGTCTGGCCTTCGTCCTCACGACCTACTCTCGCCCTGCCAAAGCCGCCAAATGCCTAATAAGCATCGTTCGTTTTACGTTTACCCTTATTCCACTCCACTACATATCCTTTACATCAGAGCCACATCCCCAGCTTTGCCACTAGATCTACATAGGCAAGGGCCCTTCACGATTTCACAAGACTTGGGACTCCTGCGGCAACCTGCAGAAGTCAGAAAGGTCTTGTGTCGAAGCCTCCAAGACTCCAAGGCGCCGGCTTACCGCAACAGGCGCTGGGGCCACATAATCTGTCTGCGATCGTGGTCGGAAATTGAGGGGCGCCTTCACCTGAAGCACCGAACATCGTCCCAATGAACTCGGAGCAAAACCTCAGACAAGATACGGGTCCTATGTGTTGAAAGCCATTTTGGGTTGGGCTGCTTCATATCTGGTGTCGCTGCTGGACAACGAGGGCTCCCGAGGGTGCCGAAGTGTATACTCCCACACGGCATTCCAACCCACGCCGTGCACCCTCATCCCCCCCCCTCTAATCCATGCAGAAGGTGTGAGGACTTGCCTCTATGAAGGTGTTCCTCACGGGCAGGTGCTGTGCCATAGCAACCTCAAGCACACCAGCTGGCTGCAACAGCCGGCAGCCCTGGGGCCCGGGCCCACTGCAGCCGACCGAAGCCCAGAGGAGGGACACACCCACTGGATGGGCTGAGCCAATGAGTGGCATGCCGCTTGCCAATGGATGCATCAGCCCTCGAAACTCTAACTCTCTCTCTCTCTCTCCCCTCGCTCCATCTCTCTCTCTCTCTTTTTTTCTTTCTCTCTCTCTCTCTCTGACTCTCTCTCTCTCTCTCTCTCTCTCTCTCTCTCTCTCTCTCTCTCTCTCTCTCTCTCTCTCTCTCTCTCTCTTCGCAAACCACATGAAGAAATCCCACCCACCACACACACACACACATCCTAAACCCTAGTAATATACTCGGTGCCTTTCCGCGTGGACGTGTTGATCGCACTAACCCTTTGCGCCAGCAAGATCCACCGCTCAAACGGTCGAATCTTGGCACACCCGCAAGAAAGGAAAGCCAACACAATCTTCCGGGCTGTCCCCGGAGCTACCACCCGCCCTTCACCTCCAGCACCTGCCGGTGCTGGAATTGCTGCATCAGCTTCATCCGCACTGCCTGCGAGAAATGGGCAAGCCAACATCCTAAACGCTGCTGATGTCCCAGTTACGTCCTAAAAGAGCACAATGCCAACAAACACCTGCCACCAATCTGCGGCCGCACCTCGTTGCGAATGCCGCTGAAGTGCGCGGCGAAGTCGCCTGCAAGAAGAAAGCCGAGCAGTCACTCCCTGCCCGCTATCCTAGCCTGGCTGCCATTTCATGGTCTCCCAGTCTCGCACCAAGGACTGAATTGTCCTGTGCTCCTCACAAGCCACGCACTCAAGCTCGCTTTAAGCCCACTCTGCACGAGATAAATGCAAGCACTACATTACCTGGAAGCCCGGCCACGTCGGCACACACAAGGCTCCTCCAAATAAGCCCATTTTAGGCCATGCCTCCTCACCCATTCAGCAGCTGCATCCTGGCACAGGTCTATCTTCTGGCTGATGGTGGCTGGGAGTTGCACCCAGTACACTTCCTGAACCTATCTTGTCCCCTTGAAGCATCGGCAAGAGGCCCAGTGCGATTGTGCTGGCCTGATCCCACCAGCCTTCATATCGTGGAACAAAGGCCTGTGAAGTAGATCGCAACAAGTGAATTGGTGAAGGCTCAATCACTCATTACAACCTAGGCCATTTGCTAGCCTGCTCGTCCAACACAACCACCTCCCTGGCAATGCGAAACATCTCCTGCATAGCCAAACAACCAGAGTGCAACATGTATGCCAGTCTGCGCTCCTCAAGAAATTTCAATGCCTGGCGACCCTGCAGCCATGAGTATCATCATGAATTCACAGGGGTCGTGTCAAGCTGCCAACTGGCAGTCAGCGTCAAAGGGCATAAGATCGCGGCATTGCGCAAGCCCAATATGCCCGTATTCATTGGAACACGTTCGTCGTGCCTGACATCCTGCGGAGCAACAACCTGCCGGTCCTTCCCAGATTCCCTTGCGAATTCCGCTTGCACTGCCCGACGTGGGTTTCGTTTCCACGGCCTTGGATGCATAGATGAAGTGGTCCGAATGCAGGCGGAGTATGCTCCTGGAGAACGGAACGGCATCGATCTGAAGGCATCGATCCGGGCGCCCGGCTTCTTGAGCCCTTCGAAGATGGGATCCCGCGTCGGCGCGGTGATCAAGACGTCGTCATCGATCCAAAGAACGGCGTCATGGAGCCTTGTGAGAAGCACACGGCCTTGGTCGGGATCGGCGCTGACGGCAGCTCAAGCGCTGCCTTGCCAGCTTTGGGGCTGCAATGCGGCGAGCTCACTGAGGGATTGACGCATGAATGCGATCTTGTTCCAGGCTGCCACAAATGTGGACGAGTCTAGAATTGGGGCCTGGCCAAAGAAGCATGTACAACGCACCCCAGGGCACGCCCTCCTACATGATGAGCGGCAAGCCAACTTCACATGAAAAAATGACCTATGAAACAAGATCTTCTCGGCGCAGCGTGCACAGGGCAACATGGTCATCAACCGCATTCAAACATGAACCTGCCCTCCATCAGCACTTTAAGTGCTTGCACATGAAACAACTTCACACCGTGTCACAGTGTCTGTTTTCCTTGTGCCTTGCTGTTACAGTGGCTGCCTGTCCCGGAAGGAGCCGCCCGAGCCTGTTCAACGATGAGCTCATACCGGCCAGGGTGCTCTTCACAGAAGCGCTCCTGGGCTGTAACGGAACGGGCTTTGCGCTTGAGCCGTCGGCAAGCATGCGAAAGGTGGCCCTCTGACGCGATGCACAAATGACTCCAAGCCGCAAGGGCAGGCAGCGTCATTCGGGACACCTGCGGCCGGTCCTGAGCCAGGCAGCTTTCAAACGAATGGCCCGTGAATGAGGGCAAGATTTGCTTGGCTGGCAGCTGACCAAGTAATGAGGGCGACCCGTGGACGGCGGACAATATGGTCTGGATATGGCACCTGTGCATATTCGAGCCGCGAAAATGCAACTACTATGATAGAGGGCCCTCTTGGATTAACTTTGGACTCAAAACCTGTATTTGTTGTATGTTTCCTTGCTCGTGCTGCAAGATACTGCATTTCGTCTAGCAGAGCCCCAGCCAGACTAGCCAGCACCCTGTCACACGCCTTAGTTGAAGCTAGAACCTCTACGGCTTTCAGATCTGGGGGGAAAAAACAGAAAGCCACCCGCCCAACTTTCGCAACAAAGGCCTCCGCTGGATGGTTCTGGTGAGGATATTCACCGCACGGGTGTCGTGGGTGGGCCTCGGTGCTGCCCCGCCTTCCGGTTTCCAGGCTCCCTCTGAGCACGGCGCCGGCAAATTGCACGCAGCGCCTTGCGGAGAAGAGCGGAACGAGCGCGCGGGCTTCTAATGCATGGCCTGTTGGTGTTTGGCACAGCGGAGGCACCTCCGAAACCTGCAAATGGAGAAATGGTCTCTGGCAACTATAGGATTGCGGTACCTCACAGCCAATGGGGCAAGCAAATGGCGTCCCCCTCCAGGTTGATACGCAGATGTTCCCACCTTCGTGCCTGACAGAGCAACAAAAGGACTGGTCAAGCAAGGCGTTCTACTCGAGCCTTTGGCAAATTGGATAGCCCAAAGGGCAACCGGTGCCAGTAAGATCCTACGCAAACTGGTCCCGTTCAAGGCAAGATACGCAGACAAGCAACCCCACGCAACTCAATGTCAAGCAAGGCTACAGAGAAAAGAGAAAAAAACTTAAAAAAAAAAAAAAAAAAAAAAAAAAAAAAAAAAAAAAAAAAAAAAAAAAAAAAAAAAAAAAAAAAAAAAAAAAAAAAAAAAAAAAAAAAAAAAAAAACTATCCAACACCAGTTTCAAGCCAGTCAAACAACGAGCAGTCCTCGCTTTGGCTGTTTTCTAGATGGTCGTCGGCGACTTTCCAATACCAGTCCAGCCAGTGGATCAGCCCACTGCTGGTCTGCAAAAACCTGTGCACGGAACCAAATATTGTTTGGCCCTTGACCGTAATTGGCAATTGGCATAGACCGGGGCGTGCCCACACCAGCTCAGAAGTACAGCACAGAATTCCGCCCGACAGCCATCCGCCGCCCGACAGCCATCCGCCTTGTCAGTCGATGCGCGAGCTCAGCACCCAAATGGTCCAAGGCTGACTTCCGCAAGGTGCCCGGACATCGCGGGGTCTGCAGCAGCCAAACTCAAAAGTTGCTTTGTGCGTAGATGTTGGAACTTCGCCAAGTGGTTGGTGCCTTTCCTGTCTTTCCTGTCTTCAAGAGGGTCCCGGATTTTGAAGAGATTACCAGTTGATCAAACGGCCTGTGACACCCAACCGTGCCTCCCAGGACAGGCTCGGAGCATATCGCAGCAGTTTGCGACGCTTCTTTTCAATGACCTCGCCGTTTTGGCTTGAAGCGACTTCACAAAGGCAGGGGGCCTCCTGGCCTGTGGATCCATCAGGGCCAACTGCAGCAGCAGTTGGTAAGCGGCGCCCACTTTGTCCACATGTCTCCTTACACATCCCCTTGCAACATGAAACGCTTGACACCCTAACCCTTTAGCGCTGAGACCCAGCAGCAAGTGAGCACCATCGTTGGCTTCGCCTGCCGTCAAAAAAAAACACAAAAAACACAAACTTCTGCTTGCTGTGGCAAGCAGGTGCCTGAACACTTCCGGGCCTAGCACTCGCCGGCTCTGACCCGAATCCCAGAAGATGGCAAACTTGCTCCACGGCCTGGGGAGGTTGAAGCTTGGCAGCCAGGAGTGACGGCCGAGTCGCCAGCAAAAGGGCGGTAAAGGGCAGCTTGGGGAAGGAGACGCCCCTGCCAGACCGAATCAGGCGGCGCTTTTGCCCGGATCCCTCCGGCCTGTGGTTGAAGAAAACCGGAACTGCCGCCTTTGACACAAAATCGCTGGAGCGACGTGTGCAAAATGAGTACATGGCCTTGTTGAGCATGCTGTACAGCCGAAGCTCGTACCCACCATCCCCCGGCAAAACCAGTCCTCGCATTAAGACTCGAGTGCGAGTCAAGGATAGTGCGAAGGATGACTAAAAGGCCTGCACACTGCGTGTGCGTGTGTGCATGTGTGCGTGTGTGTGCGGGCGTGGCCTGTTTCTGCGTGAGCCCAAAGCTCACGAGCTTGCTTCTTCATACCTAAGCGCGCACAATCCGCGATGGACATCATTGCGCTCCGGCGCAAAGCTGGGGACAAAGCTTTTAGCGCGTGAACTGCCAACTTGTTCGAATGCACTTCCGTTCAAACTCGTCCCCACCGATGACCATGCACACAGCCGGTCAAAAGCAAATGCTTCACGGCATACGCCATTCCTGCCAGGAAACATCAATCATATGGCACTGCCGCAACGCTTTGCATTCTAAAGCTAGAAGGCAGAAAAAGCAAGGCCTGACCAGCTCGTGGGTCCAATTGGTGAACTCAAGTCGGAAGTCACCCGTTGCTTGCAGCTGGTGAAGGTGTGCCTGACAAGCGGCCACGCATGCTGCAAGCTGCAAGAAGCCTTGTGCAACGCGGAGGGCCTCCGACAAAGCACTGCAAACCTCGCGCCTTTCGACCTCGGCGCTACTTCAAACAAGTGCCTACTCAACCATCAAGCGCTAAGGCAGTCGCCATTGCATCATATTGAAGCCCGCGAAAGGCAACCCGATGAGGGCGTTTGGCCTTCACGCCAGCGTGCAAGCAGCTAAGCACCCAGGACATGTCACTAGCTGGTCCTTCGCAGCGATGGCCATCTGAGCGCAATCGAAATTCTGGCAGGGCAACATGCGGATTCATTGGTGGGTAGCCACAGCGGACAACCTTAAGCTATTTCAATTTTCTGCGCGCAATCCCGTTTCCGGGATCGGTTGGTGTTTGCCGCGCGCATGAGCATGACAGCCTTCAGCTTGCAAGCATCCCAAATCATAGCGACTGGCTGATGGGTCGCAGCCCAGCAAGGGAAGCTGTGCGACGCGAGCGGCCCAAAAGCCCCACAGCAACCCGACAAACAGCCCAGCCGCCACATGGCGGCCACAAAAGCCGCGGTGAGGCCAGGCTGCAAAAACAGGTGGTTGCACTGAAGAGATGCACAGAAGAGCAAGACGACCCAAGAAGCTCGCAAGTCCTCCAGCGCCACGGATGCGCAGGAGCAGGCAGGCGCTGCCTCTGAGCAGTGACAAACTTGGGCACAGCGCACGACACTTCTGAGTGACACATTCTTCAGCAACACCATGTCATGTGAGCAACACTTTTGACAGACATTTCTCGACGACGACTCTGAGCAACACTGGTGAGCGACACCTCTAAGCGACATTGTTGACTGATACTTGTGAGCGACACTTCTGAGTTACCCTCTGACAACACCAGCGACACTTCTGAGCGACACTCTAGGTTGACACTCGTGAGACACACTCTTGCAAGACACTTCTGCATTATTAAACGATATCTGGGACGAAGGACACTTCTAAGCGACAACTTGGGCGACCCTCTCGAATGACACTTGCGCGCCGCACTTTTGACTGACACCTTTTGAACGGCACTGGTGAAGTACACTTCTGACGGACACCGCCCATCGACATTTGAGCACTGCGACAACACGAGCGACACTTCAAAAAAAGTGACACTCGTGAGCCACTCTCTTGCATCATACGCAACAACGAGCCACTCTCTTTCACCACAAGCGACAACCCGAGCAACTCTTTTGAATGACACACGCGACAATTTTGACTGACACATTTTGAATGCCACTCACGCTTCTGAGCGACAATCTCGCATGCCACTTCTGAGCGAAACATTCTTCAACGACCCCTGTGAGCGACATTTCTGAGCTGCACGTGTGAGCGACACCCGCAAACGACGCTGTCGCAAGTACTGCGAGCGACGCTTCTGAGTGACACCCTTGAGGCGGCGACACATTGGAGCGACACCTCGGAGCGACAACGCAAGCGACAATTCTGAGCGACTTTGTTGAGACTGCGGGCGACACTCCTGAATGACGCTCTTGAGCGACGCTTTGGAGTGACAACACTCAGTGCGAACTGGCAGGGCGTGGGCATGCGTGGGCTGGTCGTCCTGCCGCCCCCATCGGCGCCGTGTGGGCGGTAAGGGCTGCCGCATTGCTGAGCGATGCGTCTGGGCCTGACGCAGGCAGCGGCCGGCAACTTGTTCCGCCACCACTGGTCCGAGGCTGGCAGCTCGCCGAGCAAGGTGGGGCTCCGAAGCGCACAGCGTGATCTGGACACGCGACATGCATGTGCGCTGGACGCAGCGTGGTCCCCGGCTCAGTCGGCGCAGTCGCAATTGCAATAATTGTTTTCGGCTTTGTTGTTTTTCTTCCCGCGCGCCTTTTTCCGACGGCATGTCCTGTGGAAAACCTGCTGAAAGGGGCGCCCCCGGGCACCGGGGGACTTGGGCTGTTGCTGTGGAGGCCCGCCTCCCCACATACAGCGCTGTCGTTGGCCCGGCCAGCGTCCGGGCACAGGCAGCCGGCTGCACTAGCAAGGGCGTCGCTGACATCCAGCACGGGCCCGTCAAGGTTGTGCGCGCCGGCGCCGGGCAAGGCAAGAAGGCTGTTGGCATACGCACGCGCGGCGGCAAAAGAAAGGAGGGCCGACCACCGCGCGCGGTACGCCGCGGCACAAGAGGCTTGCAAGTCATCGAGCGCGGGCCCGGGCAAGCAAGCCGACAAACTGCGCGGCCTCAGCCTCCAGCGGCCACCCACTTCAAGTCCGACGACGACAAGGCGGCACCATGGGAGGAAAGGATCTCACGGTAAGTCCTCTCCTTGGCTCGCCGAGCAAGACGGAGTGCGGCTCCCTCGGCGCGGCGCCGGTAAACCCGCGCTTGCCCGGCAGAGCCCAGGGCCGAGACGAGGGTCGTGTCAACCGCGAGCTGCACGCCCCCCCAAAGAGCAAAACCATTGGCGAGAACATGCGATAACCTCGACACGTCTGTCATCAAGGCTGCCAAACAGCGTATGAATGGTCACAGTTGCACCGGCTTCACGGCAGACCCTGGCGCTGGCGCGCTCAAGGGGCCCGGCCCGACGACCGCAGGGCTCCAGACCAGGGGCAAGCAGAGCGATGGTCACCGAGCTCAGCCAGAGCTCTCCCGCACGAACACGAGGCAGACCCAAAAGGCAAGGGGAGCCGCAGGCGCCGGAGAAGGAGCACGCGGAAGAGTGGGGTCTCCGGGGAAGGAGGGAAAGCGAGAGGCAAAGGGGCCAGACAGGGGCTGAAGTGCGAAGCTGTCGTCGACAGACAGCGCGTGAGGCGGCACGTTGCCATCCCCCGAAGGGTCCTCGTCAAGGACAGGCTCAGGCGGGCATTCTGGTAATGCTAGCCCACGGCGGCGGGCCGAACCCAAGGTGGAGCCAGGGAGTGTTGCACAGCGCTGCGGAGACCGAGTCCACCGTGGCGAAAAGCGCTGGGCAGCGCTGGCAGCCGAGTCGGGCAGAAGGTCCGGCTGCTCAAACTGCAGGAGGTTCTCCAAGCAGTGGAGGAAGGAACGGTCGTGCTCAGCTGCAAAGGCCCGCGTCTGTTCAGGGGGGCACGGGCAGAAGCGCAACAACCAAACCTCCTGGAGGTCCGGCGAGAAAGGCTGCATGGTCCGCGCTGAGGGCGGCTGGGCTGGCAGCGACGAACTCGCGACCCCCAAGCGGAGTGCCAAGGACACGCGTGCCGCGTTGGTCGCTGGGGAGCGCGTGGCTCCCAACCCAAACCTCCGCAGAGTGCGGGAGTTGCTGGATTCCGGCAGCCAGCGTTCGAAACGGGCCTTACCAGCATTGAGCCGGATGCGGGTGTGAGCACACAGGTGGTGCCCCAGGCAAGCGGACGTAAATTTCATCGAGGAAGGCCGACACACGTTCGCGGTCGGCGGGGCGGAGCCCCAAAGCGAAGAGCGCAGGCATCAGGGGGTCGCCTTGTTCCCCCTTCAGCGTGGTCAACGCGGTTCGCCTGGCCACGGGCATCAACCCAGAGAAAACGGGAGGTCCGACCCTAGAACAAGCGGACTAAAGGCAGTATGGTGTTGGCCGCAGGGGCCGTGAAGAGCGCTAAGCATGGCATGCCTGCAAACTGTGTGCGAGGGCCTTGGCGCCCGCCCGAGTGGAAGGCCGCCCCAAACGGCTGCGCGAGCGTGCAAGCCACGAGCCGCCGGGTGAAGTCCCCGACGACTATGATTTTGACGCCCCCGTTCGGCGGGCCCGAAGTTCCGGGTCAAGGGGTTCATAAAGCTGGGCCGGCCGCCGGGCAGGATCAGTGAGCTACTGTAAAGTGCCGGGGGTGCCGTGGGCAATTGCGTCGGACGACAAGGCGGCGGCGGACAGCTCGCCAAGGTGGACGAGTCGCGTGGCCCTGCCTGCTCGGCGCAGCGCTTCGTCAGCAGGGTCGCTGGCGGGCGTTGGCAAGGGCATGCGGGGTTTTGAGGGGGCGGCCTGGCGCAAGAGTTCCGCACGGAGGAAAGTTGAAAACTGGGCAGCGAACACCTCCTTGGAGACGCGGGGGGCGTCGACGGGCCTAGGAAGGAGCATGCGTGGCAAGAATAGCAAAGTGTCCACGCGGCACCAGGGGGAGACAGACAACCGCCGCAAGGAAGCAACCTACCCCGTGCTTGCCAGCGCCCGCTGCCGCCTGGTTGTGATCGGTGTAGAGGTCGGAGGCCGCTGGGGGTCAGAGGCCGCCTCTTTTCTCCGCCTCCTCGCGCGTGCCAGAGCCCGAGCCGCGCCGGAGGCCCTTCGCCCTGCCCTTCGAAGTGCTTATGTCCACCGATGGTCCGGCTTGTTGTGCGCTGCAGCTTCGCTTGCCTTTGCTGACAGCCTCACTTCCTTGCCCTCCCCTGGCCTGAGCAACCTTGATGGGCCTTGCCACATCTTCCCCTGGGGCGTCGCGGCTGCCGGCCCGGTAGCCGTCGTGTGCACGCGAGGACGCTGCCCTCCGTAAAAACAGCGTGCAGGTGAGGAAGCTGGCCTCCGAAAAAACAGCTTGCAGAACCCTAGTGCCCGGGGCCCCCCTTAATTGCGACAGAGACGCTGCGGAAAAAGGCGCGCGAAGAAAAAAAAAAAACAACGGATGCCAATGAGAGCGACCAAAAAGGCCTGCGCAAAAGGAGAGCCAACCAGGCTGCCCACACCCCTTCCCCAGCGACGCCGCGACACTGCCCCGAACCTTGCCCCCGACCTCCTGACGCCCCTGACGATGTGCTCGCGGATGATTGTTTTTTTTCTCACGCGCCTTTTTCCATCCATCCAGGGGTGAAACACCGCGCGCGAAGTGAAACAACCGAAGCACAGAGCCCCAGCGGCACTCGCGCCCCGAGACAAGGGGAGGGAGCGGCACATCCAAAGGGGGAGACGGCTCGGAGCGCCTGCAGCGGCAAAACGTCGCCGAGCAGCGGCCCCTCCTCCCCCGTGGGCAGGGGTGGCACCAGCCACCGCCCCAACACGGTGCTACACACCGCCCACTGCGCAGCAACGCTGAGCAGGCTCCACCAGCGGCGGGGCCAGCTCGCGCGTGCCGGCTGGCGCAACGCCGGTGGCGCCCGCCGCGCACGCAGGCGAGCGAGACGCCGGAGCAGGGCGACCGCATCACCGTGCCACCGCCCGCCAACCTCGACTGCTAACACCAGGAGGCACTGTGGCCCGGGACCGGCATGTTCCGGGTAACGGGCCCTCTTCCGCCTTTCAACCGTGGACAAAGCGATGCCATCGCGCGCTGCGCCCGCGTGAGGGCGTCCCTGCGTATCCAACGGGCTGACCAGCGTGGCATCGCAAAAC